CTAAACTCAAAATATTCCCTCCTTAAATAAATTAAATTTTCTTGTACTTCGTCTATTTCCATTTTATCCAATTCCTCTTTTTTTGCTCTTAACCTAGCATAAATTCGTGTATCTCTCTTTATTACATATGCTTTTTCAATCTCTTCTATTTCTCTTTCTAAATTCCTTTTCCTTTCTTCTTGCCTTCTCTTTAAATTAATTGTCTCTTTTATACATAACCCTCTGGTCACTGCTTTCATAGTGTCCCATAGAACTCCTTTTGTCACCCCCTTTTCGTTGAAGCCCCATATTTCTTGCCATTCTGCTTGCACTTTATCTACTATCTCTTTATGATTTAGTATTCTTGTGTTTAACCTCCACCTTTTCATTTCATCATAATCACATTTCAACGCAATCTCAATTGAAACCAAAGCGTGATCCGAAATCTTAATCATACCTATATCAGCATTTAGCACTTTACTTGTCATATTTTTGGAGACAAAATATAATCAATTCTTGTATACACCTTATGTACTGATGAATAATATGTATATCTACTTTCATTCCCTTTTACCAATCTCCACACATCCTTTAATTGCCATTTATTCATTACTCTGCTTAATTCCGTTGTTTCAATGTTTCTAGCTTTTGATGCTATCGTAGTTTTATCCTTCTTTAAATCCATACAGCAATTACAATCTCCTCCAAATATTACATTTTGTTGATGGTAATTCTCTATTTGCTCTAACACTTTTTCATAAAATTCTTGCTGTTTCACATTTGGTGCGTATACATTTACTAATACATATTTTTCCTCCCCTATTTCCCCATATATTATTATATATCTTCCCTCTTCATCCTTCAATACCTTGTTTATGACAAAATTACATTTCTTTGCTATTATTATTGCTACTCCTCTTGACTTTGATGTCCCAAAAGATGTTTCGTAGTTCCTTATCCAGCTCGACTTTAACTCATTTGAGCCCCGCTTATTTTGATGTGTTTCCTGTAGGAAGATGGCGTCCGCCGCGTCCTTCTTCAGTAGGCAGAAAAAGAAAAGCAAGCATAAGAGCAACAACCAATATACAATATTATAAAAATTCCTCCAAAATTAAAGCTCCTACACGATAGCAAACGCCGGATCCTTCACACTTCCTCTTTCCTTTCAAGATCTACTATAATTCAGCACGTCTTATCAACTTACTATTTGACCATAGCTACCTCCAGTAGATGTTAGATAGCCCTATGATGCTAGGTAAGCACAAGGAGTTATTTAATGTTATACAAAAATCAAAGAAAAAAGACACAAAATTACTATAATCTCTAGTGCAACAACACTTTCCCACAATTGAAATAATTTAAGAAAAGGAGCGAATATTAGGGTATCCCCAGAGTAAATAGTATCACGACACAATATCCCCAGCTGTTCATGAAGAGCGTCTACGTCAATAAGGGATTCAATTGAATAATGTCTCCAAATTACTCTTATAGTTTTCAGAACACTAAAGAGCCTATAAGGTCATTTAAAAATATTTTCCAATAGAGTTTGAGGGTCACACACCCTACTTTCAGACTATCTGGAATTATTCGTAAATATTTTCATCAAATAGCTTCTTTCTTTGCGAACAAAAATTGTGAAATATAAAGCAAATCGAAGCTTATTAGTTCCTAGGAAATATATTCTACTATTCTTCCAAGCTGGCTGATGGAAGAGCGCGAACAGATGGAAGTGAACTGGAGAGATGTGAAATGTTGAATTGAATGTGAAAGGATTGAAAGGATTAGAAAATGCATTGATTATGTATGATATAGTATATGTGATGAATGTAATTTAAATTTTGCAAGATTGTTGTGTGATGAACTCTCTCAATATCCAGTTCTGACCAGTTTAGTGTTGGCGAGATCTTTTGCAACCATTTCAAGATCTCAGATTTCAGATCTTCTTTCTTGTTTCCTTCTGGATAGTTTTTTATTATTACGTTATTTCTTCTTTGGTTGTCTTGCATGTACACAAACTTTCTTTCCATGTCAGAGAGCCTATTTTCATTTTTTTGCATTTGTTGTTTGAGTACCAGTTGTTCCTGTGTACTTCTTTCAATTTCTGCTTTATTTTTTCGTATTTCTCCCTGTGCAATCTCCAGGGCTTCTCTTATTGTCTGAAATTTTTCATCCGAGCTTTTTCGTTCCGCGTCCAACTCTGCTCTCATTTGTTTATTGCTGGTCAGAATTTCTTGCTTCAATGCCTGAATTTCGCCCTTCCTTATTTCTCTTTCTTTATCAAACATCAGGTTCAAATTCAAGTTCATTTCCTTTGTTTGTTTTTCAGCCGTTTCTTTAATCAATTCTGCTATTTTACTTAGCATTTGACTGTTGCCCATCCCCAATTCTTCCTCCTCACTGCTCATTCTGCTTTCTTTTGGCTCTGCTGTTAAACATGGCAGCGAGGTAGAAATAGTTCCTCCCCCTTTTGCCCCCCCTTCCATTTGAGGGGGGGTTTGGGGGGGTGTTCGTTTTAACTGCTTTCCCTTAATTGTGGGGAGGGGAGGACTTCTCCTAACAGTGCTCATTTCCTCAGGGACCCTTTCCAGTCTTTCTAATCTTGAAAGCGATCTGTCCGAAGGTTTGGAATGCAACCAAAGAGGATTTGGTTTTGAGGTATCCTTACTTTGTTTATTCTTTCTCATTCAACCTCAATTTCACTCCTCCTGCTTTCATCAATTTTTTAATTGCTTTGTTTTCCCGTTCTACACAGCACACAGTACAAAAAAGTCCCACTCAGTTATGCCTTGCAATGCCAGGAGGGTTCGCCTTTAATGTAACGAGACTGGCTCGATCCTTCTTCAAAGGAGGAATCTGCCTCTAATATTTATTTTGCCTTCCGGATCATTAAGTCATTAAGTCCAATATTTTAGTATTTTAATATTGTATTTAAATTGCAGCTGTTTATCTTCTCCAAGTCTTCTCCAAGTCAGTGCGCAGTTATAATTGGCAAGTTAGTTTCACTTTCAACAGCAGCTTCCAAGCCATTTTTCGGCAGCCGCCCTATCTTCTGCCAAAGCTCATAAATCAAAGCAAGTAATTGGTAATAAATTACCTTCTTAGGCTCTCCACATGCACCAGACTTTCGCCTCCCTTTTGATCCAGAAAGGACAATTATCCATTCATTTTCACTGCTTTTTTGCTATATTTCCACAAGAGCTGGAGGAAAGACGTCTGTTCAACTGGCCATGGTAACTCCGCCCCCCGCCACCACACCTTCTAAGAAATCAGGGTTAGGCAGCTTATGTCATCTCTACTGAATTCCCCCTCCCCTCGTTTTGTCCCCAAAATGCCAAGACATAGAAGCCTCCGATTTGCCCTTGCCATTTCCTCTTATCTTGATCTCTCCAAGTCTCCAGGCACTACCAGTTTCTTAGAAGGGCTATTTAAGGAATAAAACTGTTAGGAGTAGTGGAAATAGCTTTGTAATGATAAATTATGCTACTACACAGTTTTTGAAAACTATTTGTAATTTGGAAGTTATTATGTGCAATATCCACATGTGATTGTTTTGAGCAGAAAATAATGTTCTCTGTATAGGTATCAGCATTTTTTGTATGGAAAATAATCATTACATGCTGCCAAAACATGCTGCCTTCTGCATTTCCTATGTGCAGGAATTTTACACTTAACAAGTTTTTTTTCTGCATAGCAATTCACATTTGTATATTTAATATTATATTCCATGTTGTTTCCTGTACAGAAAATACTGGTTTTTGTGCAAAACAATCATGCAAATTTTGCATAAAACAAGTACAATGCTTCAAATATTCTCATCAGTTTGGAATTCTTCTTATCGGGGTTTCAAAACATTTGAAAAACTTTTTGATTCACTTTTGAAATATTTTCAAATATTCTTTCTGCTCCCATTTCAATATTATTTAGGACAAGAAGGGAATAATTATATGGCTATTGATCCTAGACAACTGAGAGTCAGTAATAATAATAATAATAATAATAATAATAATAATAATAATTTATTTCTTGCCTGTCTCTCCTCATGGCTCGAGGCAGGTTACAACATTGTGAAACACATTCACTTAAAAGCATTCTTTAAAATAAACATATTAAAACATATTTCCACAAGATACATATTAAAATACACAAAACAGAGATTAAACATAAGATGTAGATTTAAAATTAGTCATTAAAACTGTCTGGGTAGGCCTGCCAGAAGAAATAGGTCTTCACTTGTGTTTTAAATTGTGAAAGTTCATCTAGCTATCAGAGCTCTTCTGGAAGGTCATTCCACAGTTGTGGGACAGCTGTTGAAAAGTTGTGGGACATTCCACAGTTGTGGGACAGCTGGGTGGCGGTTGCCAGTAGGGTTCTGTCAGGCTGGAGTAACCACCCCCCAGAGAACCTCGGTGTTTGAGGGAGATTGTACAGAAGAAGGTGATCCTGTAGTTAACCTGGACCCAAACTATGTAGGACTTTAAAGGTCAAAACCAACACTTTGTACTTTGCCCAGAAACTAATTGGCAGCCAGTGGAGTGACTTTAGGATAGGTGTGATGTGTTCACTCCTGAATGTTCCAGTAACCAATCTGGCTGCTGTATTTTGAACCAGCTGGAGTTTCCAAACACAATACAAAAGTAGCCCAAAGTAAAGTGCATTGCAGAAGTCCAATCTTGAGATTCCCAGCATATGCTTGTAACCTCAAGGTCCTCCAAATCTAAGAAGGGGCGCAGCTGGTCGCATCTACCTGGGAGAGACGGATCCAGGAGCACCCCAGGAGTGGCTTGAGAAACTGCAAGTTACTTCTGGTGTGGAAGAACTAGTTGACACACCTCCATCCCCAGATTAGGACCCTTGATGGCAAGTACCTCTGTTTTGTTTGGATTCAGTTTCAGTTTCTCATCCAGCCCATTACATCCTCCATAAATTCATTCAGTGGAGACATGCTATCCTTAGCTGAAGCTGTTTTTAAAGGCATGGAGGTGTCAACAGCATACTGATAACACCCCATTCCTTGCCTACAGGTGATCCCTCCCAGTGACTTCATGTACATATTAAAGAGCACTGGGAATAGAATTGCACCACATAATAGCTCCTTTTTGAAGGAACAGCTATCCTCAAGCACCACCATCTGGAACCTGGCTGAGAGGTATAACCAGAACCACTGCAGCACAGTGCCTCCGATTCTCAGCCCTTCCAGGCGCTCCATAAGGATACCATGGCCAATGGTATTGAAGGCTGCGGAAAGGTCTAGAAGCACCAGCCGGTCTCTCCTCAATGTTGAAACGGAGATCATCCACTAAAGCAACCATAGCAGTCTCAACTCCATATCCTGCTCTGAAGCTGATTTGAAATGGATCAAGGAAGTTTGTGTTATCCAAGACTGCCTGGAGTTGGAGGGCAACTGCCTTCTCAATCACCTTGCTCAGAAATCACTCTTTATCCCCTACAAATCATCCCAGGATCTATCAGCAGATCCCAGTCTACCTGTTATCCTCCCCTTGAGGTTACAGAGCTGATTTGTAGATCACATTTTTGTAGATCACACTCCCTGTATCTGAAGTGCTGCCTGGAAGCTATTAGTAGTTTTGTACTGTAACTTGTTAGTCTTTGGTAGTGATATGACTGAATTGTGCTATATTGATATGTAAATCTAAACCTTGCAAGCACGTTACGTGCACAATAGAGAACCTGGCACAGAACCGCAGTTTGTTCCTTTCCACTACCCAAACAAGCCATGTTTTTGCGTTACCCTGGAAGACACCCATTGCTGCTGTTCCGTGATGCAAAAGAAGTAAAGACAAAGGTGTACGGGCAATGCAGATTACTTTTGCATTCAACATCCTCACACTCCATAAAGTCTAGCAGTGAGGTCAGATTCTGTCAACTCCATTTGCACAATTTTAGCACTTCTCTTAACAAAAACAGAATTACCCTAACTAAACCTGGAATACATTACTGCTAGGCCTATTATTGCTCTTTGGTAGCAGTACAGAAGTGCACTTGGTACTTTAATACCATTCCCTTTTCATTTAAATAAGAAATGCAAGTGCTTTCTTGGAAAATGAGCACGATTGGTCTTATCTGGTGAAAGAGATTACAGACAACAACTTTTCAGTGCCAAACAAGCACCGTGGCATTATTCTATGCTAATGGGGTGGAAGCTTTCCCAGTTGGATATCCTGGGAAAATCATCTATTGTTATTCCACTGCTTCATTGCAGTTGATTGCTTTGTGCTTTGAAAATAAGCTATTTCTGGCCTGTCTTTCCTGCATCATATTTCAGAGTTCATTAAGATATATAATATAAGGATTGAGAGATTCATATGATATATATCAGATTTTTTTCTGCTAAATATCAGAGAATCTAATAATGTAATGTTTAGAAAGTGACATTTTTCTTGTCAAATTTTTATAAAAATAAAAATTATAAAGCATTACATTATTGCTTAGAGCATAACATGTATTGCAAACAGACTAACCACCCAAACATTCAGTTATATTAGCACTCTGCTTACAAAAGAGTTTGATTTCAAAATCTAGCCAGAACTGTAAATATAATTGTAGTATATCTACTAAATACTAATATTTTGTTTTCATTTCTGTAAGTTTCTTGGTGAAAATTTGAAAGTTGCACCTCTCTTTCAGATGCATTTTAAAGAGTGCAGCATTGAATAAACTAATTTAATTATGAAAAAATGTAATTTAATGTTTTAATTTTTTTCAAATAAACATGAAAGCTGTTTTCAGAGCATTCTCTTTTTATACTGCTTAGAAGAAATGAGAAATATCTTTAAGGCAGTATGGGCATGTGTATAATTGTGTGGTCAAATGTGTAGTCAGTGAATCACTGGAATAATTTGGATAGTTAATAGATGTGGAAAAATACCCTTAAGGTGGTCAAGTGGTAAAACTACAACAGTTAAGGGCAATTATTTTTGTAATCTCATATCAAAGTTTCAAGAAAGATTGAAAAAAAATAGTTTACTCTTTATATAATTGAAATTGTAGCCCAAGGGCTTGGAATATTCATCCTGAGTGTCAATAAAGATGGTATGGATTTTATTAACTGCCCTTGCAGTTGCTTCAGCCTGCCAAAGCTACCTATCTTAAACCAAAATACATTTGAAACTCAACCCAGTCATAATAAACAGCTGAAACCTGACGTGCTTTGCTTTTCTTAAATACCCAACCTGGATCTAAAGAGACATTTGCTATAGATTGTAAAATTTCCAATGAACTTTGGCCAAACTTCAAAAGATGTTCAGCATAAAGCAGTGGGAATTCCTTAGCTATGTGGTTGGCAGAGGAACAATTTGGTAGGATTTTTTCCACATTTTCTTTCTTCAGTTTCAAGTTGAAATTGATTTCAGAGTATACAGTCGGTACACAAAGAGGCTGTCTCCTTGATTAGGGAAGATGGGACGGAAATCCCCCAACACCATTTAAGCATTTGGTTTGTTTACATATTCAGAAGGTGAATGAGAATTTGAAATGAATGAAAAACATGAGTTGTTGAACAGGGATGTTATACCTGGTACGTTGAATTCTACAGAGCATCTTTGAATGTGGTGCCCTCCAAAGGTGGTGCACAATAACTTTTATCATGGAAAAACATGTCTTTAAGAGCCATTTGTATAGCCTCCATAAAGAGCATAAGATTTTGTGAAATACTTATTTTTCAAGCTGTGTTTCACTGTTTTTCCATTTTATGGTTCTTTAAGCATGTTTTCAAAGAGCCACAAGTCTAGTGCGAATCCTTTGCAATTTCATTTTATCAAACAGTGAAGTAATATTATTTGTTAAAGCAAGTAATGTCTGCACAGAACCCTTTTCCATGAAAAAAGTGCCAAAGCATCCTGTTGGTGTAGGTTGGGTTGGATCCTTTTATTCTGAATAATTGTTGTTCCATATGTGGCACTGATCCTGGTTCTGATCCAAAGATTCACTAAAACAAAATCAGGAACAGCAGGTTATTTGTTCGATCATGCAGTAATGGAAATTCCCACCCGTCTCTTTTTATAAGCCCAAAAAACCCTCTTCTCTTGCGGTGACTAATGACTCCTATGAATCTATTCTAGATTTTGTCTAGTCTTGAAAGAACTATCCAAGGTGCTGAACTTATATAAGGATCAGGTTCAGCACCATAGAGAGTGCCTGCAAACCCTGGATTAAAGCTTGAAGTTGATTCACTGACCTGGGATCTATCAGCAGCCACTGAACCCCCACTTGCAGATTATTCATTTATTGGGAAAATTACAAGACTTAATGACTGGAGTATCCATATTTTCAGCATAATACAAATATATGAGAATTATCTGTCTGAATTGCATCTCCAACCAACACTTTAAATAGATATTTTCTTTCTAGCAGCTGTTTGAGTTAACTGAGCTCTCTCTTTTGTTCTCTCTTATGCAAGCTGGGAACAAGGCACATTGTGGAAACAATGAAAGGTGCTGGACATTCTGTCAACACTTTGTTTATGTGTGGTGGGCTGAGCAAGAATCCCCTCTTTGTGCAGATGCATGCAGACATCACTGGTAAGTCTTACTTCTCCGAACGCATCTCCTCCTATGAACCGGCTAGGACACTGAGATCATCTGGGGAGGCCCCGCTCTCTGTCCCGCCTGCATCACAGGTGCGCTTGGCGGGGATGAGAGACAGGGCCTTCTCAGTGGTGGCCTCTCGGCTGTGGAATGCCCTGCCTGCAGATATCAGATTGGCCCCCTCCCTGCTGGCGTTTTGGAGGAAAGTGAAGACCTGGCTGTTCGAACAAGCATTTGATTAAACAGTGTAATTGAACATAGGAATACGGAATAATGGATGATGAGACTGGATTCTAATTTTACTGTTGAGGCGCTAATGATAGTTATACAGATGTTTAATGATTTATGTTACAATTGTTTTTAATTGCCCTATACTTGTCTCGTGATGTTTTGTATTGATGTTGTTCACCGCTTTGAGTCGCCTGAGAGCTGAGAAAAGCGGTATATAAATAAAGTAAATAAATAAGTCTGGAGATAAACAACCAACTTACTCTTTTAAGTTCTCCAAACTCTTGGTCCCAACTAACTACTTCAGCTAGAGATATTTCAGAAATCTACAACTTGAATTGATTTGAGAGAGACTTCAATACAAGCAAGATCTTGTGATTAAGTCCACTGGATTGTCCTTAGTGGATTTGGTAGAGGGGGTTCCATTTTAAATTCCATCATTATTTTTCCCCATTTCTAAGAGCTTGACTTTCTACTGGTTATGTTTAACTAAAACCAAAATCATAACAAAATCAAACAAAGAAACAGTAAAGATGCATACATTCAACCCTCCATATCCACGGATTCAGCATTGAAATTCAAATATCTGTGGCTTGAACATAATTTTTTAAAATGTTTCTAAAACCAAATCTCGACTATGCAATTTTATATAAAGGACAACATTTCATTACACCATTGTATATAATGGGGTTTGGGCATCCAAGAATGTTGGTCTCCTTGGGGATTGGATGGGGCGTTCCTGAAACAAAATCTCAGCAGATACCAGGAGCCCACAGCTATCAGACATACGTAATCCCAGATAGAAGAAATTGCAGAAAAATCTCAGAAATATTGTTGGAGTGCCATTGGAGTAACCAGTACAAATGGTAAAACAAATTACTTGCTGATTGTGGTTAAGAAGGTTCGGAGTTTGCTATGGATTTGCACACTTCTCTGTTTTTCCTCCTTCCATTGTCAAAAGGATTGATCTTGAGTAATTTCTTGGTTACTCTTAACTGTACCCTAGCATTTTATCTGCAAAGGTAATCCTTATGATTCCTATGAACCATGGCTAGGTATAATCAGGTTTTTCTAGTAGGCTACTGTCTCAGGTTAAGAGCTAGTGCTGATTTTTTTTTTATCGTGTCAGGAGTTGCTCCTGTTTTGAGAGAATTGGCCGTATGCAAGGACGTTGCCCAGGGGACGCCCAGATGATTTTTGATGGTTTTTTTTATCATCCTTGTGGGAGGCTTCTCTCATGTCCCTGCATGAGGAGCTGGAGCTGATAGAGGGAGCTCATCCGCCTCTCCCCGGATTCGAACCTGCGACCTGTCGGTCTTCAGTCCTCCCGGCACAGGGCTTTAACCCACTGCGCCACCGGGGGCTCCAGCTAGTGCGGATGCATTGTTAAGCTAGTAATAATCAGAAAAAGAATAGTTTCTCATTTGTGAGGGAAGAAAGGAGAAATTGGGAAACCTGTTGTTGGTATATGCCTTTAAGGCAGGTTTGCCTTACAGAAATCCTATCATAAGATTTTCTTGGCAGGATTTGTTTGCCATTGGCTTCCTCTCAGGCTAAGAGAGTATAACTGACCTAAAGTCACCCCAGTTTCAGAGAGTTCTAGTCCAGCACTTAAACTATTATACAATAATGGCTCCTTATACATAGGTCCATTGTATTCTACTCATTTCTACTGTGATGATTTTTAGAAACCAAATGATCTGTCCTGTTAATAATTTTATAGCCTTCGGGCTGAGAACAGCGGTATATAAGTAAGGTAAATAAATAAATAAATATTACAATTTCAACAAACTACAAATTGTGTCCACCTATGCATCATTCAGAACCTATACTGTGTTCTAGATTTCTGCAGACTTAAGAAGTTTTTCTTTGGCTTGAAAAAATGTTTGATTTACTTCCTTCTGTGAACAAAATAGCAACTCTGGACTCAACCCACAGGAAATATTTATTGGTCATATAAAATATTTAGCATAACTACTCAGGAAATTCTCCAGAACAACCTTTATTAAAGTGAATAGGTACTACCCAGGGACTGGGTATGTCCAAAATCTAATCCTGATTGATTATTTCAGATATGAATTTAAAATATATCAATAAGCAGTTAGAATAAGACAAAGCCATGATGGCAGGCATATAAATGTTTTTGTATTCATGTATTTATACAAAAGAGATAAGGTGATAACTTTCAAACGGTCTCCATTGGTGTGCAAATACTACTGTTTCACATTTTTCTCTTCATCACAGCTTCTGCGCATCATAATAAGCAGGAGCTGATTAATAAAACACAGTTTTATTCTTTAGATAATACATTTTCTTGGGACTATCTGGCAATAATATTTATGTTTAGAAGACCCGAACTTGTTCTTTATCTAGAAGAATTTTTGGTTACACATTACATTGTTAAAAATAATATGCACTTAACTTAAGCAAAACAGAACCATGAACTGTATGCATGGACATATATAAAAAGACCCAATGTGGTTTAGATCAGGTCTAAAGCTTAGACTCTAGG